TCCGAGACATAAACACTCTAATGTCTTAATTGTTCACCACTAAATTTTCTTCCGCGTGCCAGTTTAAAAACAATCAAAACCCACTAAATGCAGATCAATCAAATATTCATTCATGCGTACAGCCTGTCACAAATGTCAATAATTCGCAACCGTACGTGAGCTAAATAATACGTTCTTCCTGTCAGAATTGAAACGTCACTGTTTTTCAAACCATTCAAAATTTTTCACGGATGAGTACTATCCATCCGGGTATTTTCCGCGGACAGGCATTATCCATCCGGGTATTTTTCGCGGACGGGCACTATCCATCCGTGTACTTTCCGCGGACGGGCACTATCCATTCGGGTATTTTCCGCGGACGGGCACTATGGGCTGATAGTGTCTCTCCGCGCATGAACACTATCGCGTCACATGTTCAATTTAAACGACGAAGAATCGCAGAAAATTTAGTGGTGAACTATAATCTGTGATAGATAGTGAGTAATGTAGCAGCGTGCGCTTGTTAACAAAATGACGGCCGCTTCTTGGCATTTCCGAAATGTCTGTGAAGAGGATCTAGGTGAAGTTTTGAACTTCTAGTAGATTTATACTAAACGATTAGACTATTTACTTTTATGTTTTAACTGTTGGTGCACTCCGACGATTCGGCTATTTATAATTGGTTGACAGAGAAAATAAACTCTGCCATAATGCACGACGTTTCTACTAGCTCTACACCACCTAGGAATATTCGCGAACTTTTTATCAATTTATCTGACGCCCATACATATAACACGCGTTTTTCTTCCACAGAGAATTTTTATGCACAGAAATCTAGATTGCATGTGAAATTTAAGTCTTTCTCTGAGTTTGGTACGAGGTTATGGAACTGTCTAAACCCTAACTTGCGTAAGCTTACGAAAAGAGCATTTAAAAGGAAAATTCATAAGTTGCTTTTGACTATACTTGGGATCGAGGACTATTATGTTGACACCCATTCACTAATATTGAAATTCCATACCAATGATTATCGAGAATTATAACTGTAGTACTTCGCTCACATCCGTATAGAACAATTCTCTCCTCTCTACTTTCCAGTCTGCTCTGCCGGTATTTGATTATTATGTCTTGTTTTAACTTAATAGTAATTTTACTGTATTTAATTTGTACTACAACTGTACGTATCTTTTAGCTTATTGTGTAGTAAACTAATGCATGGCTTATAACCCCAATAATATTGTAGTAATGATATCTCTTTAGTTTAATGTAAAATCTCTTTAGTTTACTGTGGTAATGAAACTTCTTTAGCTTGCAATGTGTAGTATTTACTTATTTATGTATTACTAATACCCGCCAAGACTAGCTAATGCTATATGCGGGTTGTGTAAATTTGCTTGTAATGTTCTATAAAATAATAATAAACAAACAAACAAACAAACAAACTCGATATCGATACAACTCTAGTTGGACCCCTGATAGGGTTAAACATGTAATTTGATTTATGCGGTTTACAAAAGAAATACTAACAGCAATCGCCTATTTTGCACTTTACTATTTTCACCCTTTTTGGTGTTGATCATTTGCGAAAAGTTTTATTTTTTCATTGAAAACCTGACTGTCCTTCCTCTCGTGTGTGACATTTGATTTTCTCAAACTTTTCTGATCAAAAATGAAAATCGAATGATGTCCATTCATCTGCGTGGTGGTCCTAACATGTGAGGCGTGAGTAGTCCAGTGGTCAGTGCGCTGGACTCTAGGTCAGATGGCCCGGGTTCAAGTCCTGGCTGGGGCTTGACGTTGTGTCCTTAAGCAAGACGCTTCACTCACATTGCTTCGTCTTCTCGGATAGGACGTAAAGCCGGAGGTCCCGTCTCCTGCACCTATCAATTAGTTAATTTCGGCAAGGGACGTTAAAGAACCCACATCACGAGATTACTGTGATGTGGTCTGGCCTGTTTACTGGGAAGGGGGGGAGGGGGCATCTGTAAAAATTTCTCCTTTATTAATTGTAAACTGCCGCCGGCAGTCTGGAAAAGTCCCCCGCACAGTGTTGTAAAGCGCATTAGAGCATTTACATGGAAATGCGCTATAGAAATTGATCTATATTATTATTAT